AAATGGTAATTTTGTTTTTCTCATTTTCGTCAAATTAAATAATATAGATTTTTTATTTTTATTGATAACTACTCGTGCTAAAATATAATTATATAATAATATTATGATATTATTATTTTCTTACTATTTTAATATTTAAATAAAACATAAAATGTTATATTTAATACTTAAACTAAGGAATATATATATATATATATATGTTTTAATAAATTTGATTTCTATTTATATAGTCTAAAATTTGTTATAAAAATAAATATAGTTATGGTTTTTTGTATAAAACCGAATAAATCAAAGATCGATGTATATAAACCAAACCAAATCAAATTAGGTATTGTTCCGATATGGTAACTAATTTTCAAAAACGGAAATACCAAAAAACCAAAAACATCAAACCGGAACCTTAACAAAGTCCAGACTGAACATGTTCTCCAAATTATTGTGTGTTTGGAATGTTCTTATTGATATTGTAAAACAAATACCCGCGCGGGCGCGCGGGTCAAAATCTAGTTGTTATATTAAGTTCTTTGCCCAGCTCACCATTTTAAACATAATAAAAATGTTGACAAAAAAACATAATAAAAATGTAATTGAATGGGCTTTTTACTGATAAGACGAATTTGGTGGACTTTCATTTTGTTGACAAGTGATTAGAAGAATCAACAAAACTACAGATGGCCTTTGGTCAAGATATGTTACAGTCTTCTAATCCATCGTATTTGTTGTGGTGTGTCAGAGTAAGGCCTTGTCGACAGACTACACGAATACAGAAGGAGGGCAGTAATAGTTAATCACCATGGATATTGAGAAAACAGCTGTGTCGAGTGTACTCCGGAGCTAACATACGCGATATAAACTGAAACCACTCGAGTGAGCACAACATACAGAGGTGTTATGTTGATAAAGATATTAATACAAGAATCCATACAAAACATCGCTTGTGAGCAGTAGAGAAATATCCGAACTTTTGCTCAACCCACACCATTTGATTCATAATTGGCTTTTAGAGTCTAGTCAAGATATGATTCTGAATCTCAGCTCAATCTCTCGCTGCCAATAGACAGGAAGTGAGGCATACAAAAGTATTAGAAAATAACGAGCTGAGCCTATATGCATCGGTTACTCACCGGGAGTACCATGTCCAAACCATCGATCGGTATATTTGAAGATATCCTTCAGAATAAATGAGGAAACGACATAATAATGAACAGAAAAAAAAAGACTACAAGTTCATGTAATGTTGTGGATGGTAACTTACAGATGGCAAAGTCTCCTTCCGAAGTTTACCTCGTGAAGAAGATAACACAAACGAAAATGAAGACAACAAGAGAGAAACTTAAAAGTCAACATCTCTCTCAATTAAATTTAATACTGTATGGTACACAGGGAACTAAATGAAAGACAAAGGAAAAGAGAGAGACAATAAGAGAGGAAGACCCACACACCTTGCAGTTTCATGGACCATTCATATTTACACATTCATGCAACTTCTTCATCCACGCTTCCCGCACCCCAAAGCATCACCAAGTTCCCAATCTCCTCTTTTCTTGAAAACCCATGTCAAGAATCATCACAAGATAAAGAGTAAACAATGAAAAGATACAAAATGTTTAGATCTCTCAGTTACGCTTTGTAGGAAATGTAGGCATCAACTCCTTGGCTTTCTGGAGAGGTACTTCACTGAACCAGGCATGGTTAAGAGCCTCGTCAACTGTAAGGCGCTGCTCAGGGTCAACATTCAATAATCTGTTCAACAAATCAAATCCCAATTCTGAAAGAACTGGACCTCCGGTAAAAGATGCAGCAGGAAATTTCTTACGTAGTAAATTGTACGGTTGCTTACGAAACTTGGCTTTGGAAACTGGCAGTGACGTGAATCCAGGCCAGGTTGTCTCGCTGGGTGTTCCAAGAACCGCAAAGATCTGCTGAAGCTGGTCAATGTCATTCTGACTTTTCCCTCGGAAAAGGGGTTTAAGAGACAGCAACTCACCCATAATGCACCCGATGGACCACATATCAACTGCGGTTGAATACTCCTTTGTTCCTAGAAGAAGCTCCGGGGACCTGTACCACTGTGTGACAACCAGCTGCGTGTAGGGCTTGATAGGACTCCCATATTGCCGAGCCATTCCAAAATCACATATTTTCAGCTCCCCGTTGTTGTTCAGTAGAAGATTCGATGGCTTCAGATCCCTGTGGATGATCCAGTTGCTATGAAGATACTTCACACCCTCCAAAAGCTGAATCATAAGGCATTTGACCTCACTTGTGCTAAAAGGCTGTTTCATCCTGTCCATTACGCCCCTCAAGTCATGTTCCAAGTGTTCCATGACCATGAAAACACTGTCACCGTTTCCCACCACCACTTCCTTGACGTTCACAATGGACGGGTGATTGCAAGACAAGAGAATGTTAATCTCCCTCAAAGATGTCAATGGGAATCCATATTCGTCTTCCATGTTCATCTTGATCATTTTAAGTGCCACAATCTCCTCAGTCTTTCTATCCTTGGCTTTGTAGACAACACCATAAGTTCCTTCGTTTATCTTGCATAGCTTCTGGTATTCGTTAACATCTCTACTACCAGATAGCATGCTCAAGCCTCCCTCAGGCTCATCAATTTCCGAGTCGTTAAAATCAGAAGGAGAACATTCTTCTTCAATACGACTCTCCAACTCATGCTCTGAATGTTCATGAGCACTGATGGGTTCTAAGCTGCGAGATCCAGATGAATTGGACCTACGTTCATCAGACGCCTCCCCTTGAAATTCTCCGCTCTCAGGAGTCAGACAGCTCCTATTCCATCTGCTATTCCTGACAACATGAACAGCATCATCCTTTGGAGATTCCAAACACCACTTAGACGTAGCAATATTGGGTGCCTGAATCACTAGCTCGTCCTCCAATTGCCCATCCTCAAGATCATCAAAAGGATGTTTAACAAGCGGCACTGAAACTGCAGAAACGTATTCTGTTGACTTGAGAACACCTACATGATCCTCAGACGATATCTTCCTAGCAGAGCCCACATCATCAATCTGATTGGATGTTGTTAAGGTCTTCTTCTCACGAACTGGAGGTCGAAAGACTTCATCTTTCCTCTCCCCTGAAACTGGAGAACACTTCCTCCTCTTCTCACCTCGGGCCTCTCCTCTTTGATATGAATCACGTCGGCCATCACTGGGTGGTCGTTTGGTCTGACGCCTCTCACCGTCCCTACCACTCTGACGAGAATAAAAATCACGAACTCGATCAACAACAATGACAGAGCTTTTCGAGATCTCTACTCCTCCTGCCGCCATCGTATCAATACCCAATTCGAAAAATCACGATACGAACAAAAAATCCCAAATTACCAATCACGAACAATAGGATGCGATGGCAATCAAAATCAGATCAATCAAACAAGAGAGAATCTCGATGAAAACAAACCAGATCTGGGAATTCAAGACGGTGAAATTGAAAACCCCAAAAAAAAGTCAACTCCAGGAAGAAGAGTTAACGTCTCCTTCTTCTCTGACGATTCTCGTAGATGCTATACGGCGAATTAGGGGAACGGGATTCGAGAAGATTGCGAGCGGAAGAGATCGATTGATGAGCAGATCTGGGAATCCTCTCGATGAGAAAAGCAAAGACGCGTTTGGTTTACGGCTCTCCTTCATTGTCTTATCTTTTATACACAAAGGGCTTCTCTTATGTTTCCCTAACATTAAAATTGACGGTGCAGATGATGCCAGCTCTGTTTGATCCAACGATTTATATGTTTAGCCGTCTTCAACTTTTTGCTTGTTAAAATATAGAAACAAATCTTCATGGAATAAAATTCGTATAAATTAATATTCGATTAAATTAATATATTTTTTCGGTTAGACCGATTCAAAATTTGATGCAAATCAATAAAATAATAAATTTTATAAATAAATTATGTAAATATATGACTTCACTAAAATTATAAATTAATAATATATATATATGAATATATTTTATTTTTTGTATGTATATATTTTTATTTAAGTAAGAATTTATTATATTGTTTATTTTATATTCTTAATGAAATTATCTTTATATTTACTTAACACTAATATATTTTTGATAAGATTTAGTAATATTATATCTAAATGACATTTAAATTATATGCAATATATATTAAATACAATAATAATATTCTAAAATTAATATAAATTTCAAATTGCAAAAAGTAATAACTAATGTCTGTACACGAAAATCAAACATTTTTCTTATCTTAGAAAATACATATAAATAATGAAACTTTGTCAATCAATATCTCTATAAATTAATCTCTATAAATTAATTTCTATAAATTAATAAAATTTTAAAATCTCACCTTATTAATTTATAGAGATTCTATTATATATTCATATAACTAGTTGACCCAAAAAATATGTAAAAGTTACCTTACACAAAGTCTCTCTATATGTTTAAGATGATCTTATTCAATCATGTATTTTAATAAAGTTTATATCTAAGAACAATATAATTCACCATTATTCGATTAATTATTCTAATTTTTTTTTAAAAAAATCTAGTGTTATTAAATATGATATTTATAATTCTATTTAAAATCTGGTGTTAATCAATTAATGATTTGAATCAATTTTTTAAAACCCAATGTTATTCAACTGAAAAAAGTTTTAAAATCTTTATACTTAAAACTGATTTCAAACCATTGTCTTTGGATTCTCATGAACAAACAATAAACATCAAAATCCAATGCATACTCAAGAGATTTTGAAATCCACCAACTAAAACTATCTTAAAATTTTAAAATATTTAATTAATTACAAAACATTAAAACTAACTTTAAATCTTTGATTGAATAACATCCCCTAAAGATTGTTTTTCTTTTTCTTATCTTTCAAGATTGGTTTTTAAAATAAGGTATTTATCTTTGCTCAACATAAAGATATCTATATAAAACTAAAACATAAATTAAAGTAAAAATATGATTATAGTTTTATTAAAAATAAATAAAATACAAAATGAGATAACTATATATGAAATATAAATAAATGTATATATTTACTATTTATTATGTGTTAAAAAGCTAAGAAAATTATGTAAATGTTTTAACACTAAACCATATTTATTGGGCTCGATTTGATCTAGGTCTTTTATTAAGTTGGGCTCAACAAATTTTGTGCTGGTTGATTAGCTGAACAAACAATTAAATATTTAACAAAAAAAAACAAAATTCCAACCTATCGGAATCGACCAGCGACCTAAAGATTTGCTGTCACAGACTACAGTCTTCCACTTTACCAACTGAGCTAAGGTCGGACATTGGTTTGATTGTTTTTTTTTATTTATTTAGAATAACAAAACTTGAACCATAGTTATTTTCGTTAATCTCTGTAGAGCCATTCTTTTCCAATGGGAGAACAGTGAGGTTTTCTTGTATTAGAATGATAAGATTTGTTTTGCAGAAGACTTACCACAATGTTGCTAATTTAGTTCCATCTTTTCTTGTATGAAGGCATGGAAAATTTGCACGCACATATTATTTGATGTTTTTGGGGAAGAAGACAGTTTTCAAAAGAATATAAGAATAAAAACCAGTAAGAAGACTGCTAAAATGACTTCAAAAAGCATATAAGCTGCTCTGTCAAGCTGAGCTATCATGCTAATTAGTGTATTTCTCACATAGCTAGTAGCCGTAACTTATAAGAAATGCACTAAACAATACTCACTTTCGTTCTCCTCTCTCTCCGATCCAAAAATGTCGGTTCTGAAGTGTTCACCATTGCGGAAAGGTGTTTAATAAAAGTATTAGACACAAAGTATCTCACATCAATAGTTGAAAGAGACTCTTAATAGTATATAAGATAGATGGGCCACTCCACTTATCACCAATTGGTTTAATGTTGGAAGCTCATCTACCTTAACATGGTATCAGAACCCACAATCTACAAAGTCCAACTCGATCTAGCCAAAAGATGGCCCATCGATCTTTGCCCGAACAGTCTGAGGCTGACGTTCAAAGAGCCATCATCTCGAGGGGGCGTATTAGACACAAAGTGTCCCACATCTATCAAAACAAAAAGAAGGCAAAAAGAAAGCAAAGCAGAGTTTAACCACATTTAGAAAACACCACACCAGCTGCTTAAGTAGTTACTAGATTTCTGTCAAAAGGGGAATATATGCAAAAATTAATTTCTTTACATTTCATTTCGCTTGAATATATACCTATACGGCTATATCAATGCTAATACAAACCGAATTAAATATTCATTTGCAGATTTTGTATGTGTTGAGCTCGGTTGCTCAAATAAAAATTTGGTTGGTTATATTATCACCCAATCTATTATTTCGGCATAAACAGTTTCTAGGTGGTTCAAGCAATCAACAAATACCAGTCATTTTGGCTTTTGATATGCGTTAGAAATTTACATATTTTACTTTTTGCGAGAGCATTATTGTATATAAATCCACTCAGTTTACATTTTCTAAATTATGCTATAAAACATGGTTAAGGATGTGACTTGACCTCTCTCCTCTTGATCCTCACCTTGAGTCCACCTGCCATATGAGCCGTCAAAAGAGGAACAAAAACCGGCTTGTGCTTATTAACCGGTACAATCTCAAAGCGGTTCAAAGCAGATTCAACGATGTATTTCATCGGCATAAACGGCATCTCCTTTCCTACACAAACCCTTGGTCCGGCCTGAAAAACCGGAAACTTGAAAGGACTAACGGGTTTTAAAACCGATCTTGTATTCCTAGTACAGACTCAAACCACCGGTTTGGTTTAGACTCCTTCCAGTCTGTCCCCCACAGCTTCCCCATCCTACCCATACCGTACGGGAAATAAGTCACTTTGTCTCCTTTCTTGACATGCGTCCCATCAGGGAAAACGTCGGCGTTTGCAGCATGCTTAGAGTCCCACGACACAGGTGGATAAAGCCTCATGGCTTCACATAAACAAGCCTTCATGTAACTCATCTCTTTCAAATCCTCAAACCCTAAACTCATCAACGGCTCCACTTTCTCTAAAACCTTCCTTTCCACGTCATTGTTTTCAGACAACAACCAAAACAGCCACGTCATCGCTGATGACGTAGTATCCCTTCCCGCAATGATAAAACTAATAACCATGTCTCTCACCGCTTCGCTGTCGTGTCCGGCCGCTAGAAACCTCGACAAAAGATCTTGTTTGGCTTTTTCTCCTGTCCCGAACTCGAGACTCTTCCTCTTAGCTTTGACAACCTCGGAGACCAGCTCGTGTACTGTCCTGATCACATCTCTCAACCTCCTCTCGCTTCCCACGTTCAACACACGCTTCACCTTCCAAATAGAGAATAGAGGCTCTGTGGCACGGCAAGCACTTATCTCAGCCGCGGTGTCAAACGCATCCGCAAACGGGTTAACGTGTCGGGTCAAATCAAAACAATCCGGGTCCCAACCCAATGAGACTTTACAAACAACATATAAAGCAAAACGTTTCAGAACATCTTGTAAATCAACGGAGGTAGCGACATCAGCTGCGGCCAAAAGAACCGGTACGAGAAGGTTCTCCACTTCTTCTCTAAGAACCTCGAAAGCAAAACTCCTGAGCGAACGAATAGAGAACTCTTGGCTAGCCAGTTGCGAGCTCCATGAGTGACCATCCACATTAAATTTTCCTTGTCCGAGGAGATCACCGAGGAGGTCAGTGAATGGTTTACCTTTAGGGAAGTTAAAGAAGTTTGTTTTGAGAATGTATTACTCATTTTTTTGGGTTTGCTGTGACGATGGTGCGACGGTTTCCGAGGAGAGGAATTGAGATGGATTGTGACGGAGAGAAACAAAGGAGTTCGGTGTACCATTGGAGAAGACGGTGGCGGTTTTTTTTGAAAGAGAGTATGGAGCCAATTAGTGGATACGACATCGGTTTATAATTTATCTTATTTTCTTGAGTTTTCTTAATTGGAGACGATGAAAAGATTGAGATGATGATTTTAAGAAACGTAATAATACAAAAACTCAGAAGAAATGTCATTTTGTTTCTTGTTTTTTTTTTTGCTTGAGAGAATTTGTGAATTTGATTTGAATATGTATGTGTGTGTCTAGGTTCTTCGTGGATATTGCGTGTGTTTTTATAGGAGGGAGAAGGTAAGCGGGTTTGACAAAAAAGGATATCGTGTTTAAGTTTTTTTTTTTAATTTTGATCCAATCTCTCACATTGAAATCGAGATTTGGTTTTGACTGAAATTTATTCTGGTTTTCATTTATTTCTGGTTTAATTATTAGTTTCTCTTCTAGAGTAATCTAGAAAGCATTAGATCTCCTCTTCCCTTTCGACTTCCTCTGTATCATCTCATCTCTTCCGTTTAGGCGATTGGAGAAGCCACTCTCTGCTCTATTCAATTCTTTGTTTCATTACATTCAATCCCTAATGTACCTACATGGGTCAGTCCTTCATTGTCACCTTAAAATGAGCGACAACGATCGTCACGTCTATCTTTGCGCGTAATATGCCAAGGAATCTGGGGAAAAATACCCAAGGTAAAACTCCAAGGTAGAACTAAGTGTTAGTTGTTGGTGTCAAAAATCGTAATCTCGAAATCAACGTCTACGATAACTTCTATAAAAGATGGGATTATTGCTTTCCGCAAGAATCGTTTTATAAAACACGAGAATCGTTTTATAA